TATAACTATAACTAACCTTTTTTAATTTTGGTATCTCAAAACACTATGGATTTTTCTTATAGGCAATAAAATTTCTGATAATGAATACCTTAAAATTATTTAAGACAGGAATCAGAAGGAATAACGCATATGATCTGCCACATCTGGCTCATAGCTCTCTCCTTGTTCTAGGTGCACATTCATGTCTGCTGCTGAAGGCGTCATTATTGCAAATGAAATCGATATTAACAGGATAGCATGTATAGCATGTTATAAGCAAATTCTATGGTAATGTTCCAATGAACAATGGGAAATGGAAGCAAAATAAAACCTTCAACTTACATTTGGGCAGGTGATACACTGAAGTCTTGTTAACTTTGCCGAGATCTAAGTTTGTTATTCAAATTCTACTCAGCTGCCAGTTTTCGGGGTTTGAATAGCCACTCTGGGCTAATATCTTGTTAGTTTTGTAATGGTAAAAGTAAAATGCTGCAGGATCCCCGGCAGCTGCAGTTGCAGAAACACTGGAGGTCCCCAAACAGCAGCAGTGAGCAGCAGGTCCCTAGAGCAGCCAGTCCTAGGCAGGGATAGTGCAGTTCCCTGAGTGGCTGCAGCAGGCAATGAGTCCCAGGCAGGGAGCTGCATGGTGGGTGAGAGACCTCGATGGGGCAGCCAGTCTCACGAGGAGAGACAGATAGATAGGCATGCCATGAGACATCCGAATGAGAACCAAAGTATTACTATATTTATAAACTGAACAAGTAACTGAAAGAACTCCAACAAACAAAACAGAACCTACAGTGTGGGTCTTGGGAGAATATTTTGGAACTTGTAACAGGGCATGAGTAAGCAAGAAAGGCAAAAGATATCCCAGAGAACAAAGAGCAGGAGATGACTGAGCTTAACCCCAAGAACTCATATCCTGCCTAGGTCTATTTATTCTGATGAGAAAACTACAAGAGATCACAGACCTTACCCTCATGCTCGTCCATAGCAAGTTCCTCTGAAGCTCATTAAGACCCAGGAAGTTCTACAGAAGGTTTGTTAAGATTTGGGAAATTCTTTAAAAAGGTTTATTAATAATTGTGAAAAAAAACAATTCAAAAGTCTAAGAGACACTGCAAACATACAGCCTACTGCTGTTGCCCTTGGTTATCCCCTCCACCAGATGTGGAAGGTAAGTACCTGTTGCTGGATACCACATATTTCAAAAACAGGGTCCAAAGAACCCTAAACTGGTACTAATCTGTACAGCCCCTCCCTGAGGACTAACGTTTCTGGTACCAGAAGTTATCATTAAAGTTTTCAAAAGAAGGAGGTAACCAAAATTCTTACTTAGCTAGGATACCTATGAATCATATCAACAACCAGCATGGAAAGATAATCTGACTGTTACATTAGTGGCACTAATACTTGGTGGCAACCAGCAATTCTCTTATTAGACTTAAGACTAGCTCAGCCTGTGACCCTACCACAGTCAGGACCTGCACTGATGTCTAAGGCTCTTGTTGACATCCGAAGACAGTGAGGATGCCCAGGAACTGGGCCCAAACCTGGGGCCTCACTGCCGTTGGGTCCATCCCGATATGAGTGGACCTGCAGTGGCAAAACAGTAGAGCTGGACCCAATGGTATGAGCATGGGTAAGCTGGACCCGAGGGTAGGAAAGGAGGAGAACTGGCCCCAATCCTTGCTATCTGCCACACTGGGTGAGCTAGCCCAGGTAGTGATGATGAGAGAAAGCTGGCAGGCTAACCAACCCAGCTACTCGCCTCATCTAGAGACTGCTGGAGCATGTGAAGGGGCTGGTCCTGCAGGATCTCCATAAGGCAAGGCAACAATAGGATATCCAAGAGGAGTCCCAGTGAGGGCCCAGTCCTGATAGTGCAGCAGAAGCCAGAGGCCTCAGACCATACCAATGACTCATTGCAATGAACACATACAAGTAAAGATTGTGAACTACAGGGTATACGACTCACAGGGCCACACTACAGTTTCCAGGCTGAGAAATTATTTATTTATTTATTTATTTGGTTGGTTGGTTGGTTGGTTGGTTGGTTGGTTGGTTGGTTGGTTGGTTTGGCTTTATTTTTGTTTGTTTGGATTTTGGTTTGGTTTGTTTTGGTTTGGTTTTTTAGGTTTTACTTTTAAATTATGTTTTGTCGGGGAGACTGCAAGGTCAGAGGGTGGCATCGAGGAGATTGGGAGATGAGTTGAATCAGGATGCATGATGTGAAATCCTCAAAGAATCAATAAAAAGTTTTTTTTAAAAAAAAAAAAAGACCCTCTCAATAAGAGGAAAATGAAGCCTGACACTATTGTTGGGTACTAACAATATATTGCTAGTGAAGCCATGATTACTAGAGAATGATTCACAACCACCAATTTACTCAATCAGTATAATCCCTAATAACAATCTATAAACATTTATCATTATACCCACAGACAAGTGTAGTCTTTACCTCTCGTCAAGGAAACTCTCCTTGCAACAGATGAAACCACCACAAATGATGAAACCACAACTAATGAGTAGGAGGTGGTAATAGAAGAAGGAAGTAGTAGCGGGTAGAAGGTGGTAGCTATTGTCTTAACGCAGTTTCCTTTACAGCAGCACAATCAACACTTCGAGGTCGAATAACTCAACAGTGAGAGGCTGCGCAATCTCTACTTTCAACCTACCTAATTCTAGTAGCCTCCAAAATGTTGCACCCATTTCAGAAGAATTACCTTAAAATAGCCACCATTCCTTGTCATCCATATGGCTCCTGGTTCCGGAAACGAAGCCAGCTGACCTACATAGCTGAATCTGCTTCAAGCTTCAGACCCCGTGGGACTGATGCATCTACCTTTTGCAAGTTGGGCTTAAAAGATCAATGCCCAGAATGTTCATTCCTCTGCCTAGTCTGAAAGGATAAGAACTAAAGTGGGAGACTCGTCACGGACAGAAGATGGAAAGCCCAAGCAAGCAAACACATTTCAGGCTTTTTTTTCTATCTGAGTCGCTATATGTTAGCCAAAGCAAAGCATAAAAGCAAACTCTGAGCTACAGGTGGGACAGTATACTCAGCTAGCAGCTAAAACCTCCCATTTACATGAGAAAGGACATGGATATGAGAAGAGATAAAAGAATGGAACATGAATTTAATCCACAACAGGGGAACTTGCTGAGAAAAGAGAGAAAATTCTTTCCCCCACATAGCTGTGCCATACAATTTTTCCTTTCTTTATGCCACCAGGCATTTAGCAGCTATAAGCATCTGTTAAAAAATGTCTAAATAAACAGATATGTTTGTCTGTTTTCATTCCCTGTCCATGTCTCCAAGGCTCATGTCTCACCAGATGGGAAATGATTCAAAAGGAAAATGATGATCCATTTTAGCCAGAAAGAATATTGAACTATGTTACAGAACAGCTGGCTTGGCCCTTCAGCTCAAAGTAAGCTTTGCTTGGCTCGGACCCCATTCAGAAAATTCTGTCCTCAGAAACAAAAGAATACAACCAGTCTAATAGCCATATTAGGGGTAGTTTAGAAGTCAACTGGGAAAACTCAGAGCATGAGGAAGCTAATATGTAGGTACAAGATCACAAAACAAAAAAAAAATTCTAGCCGAGGACATTTGTATTAATTTCTCAGTGGAGCCATGTCACTTTTGGACTCTAATGAACAAAGGTTATTTAAAAAAAAAAAAGAAGAAGAAGAAGACTCATATGCCTGATGTGGGATGTCCTTCTGTATATGTGTTGCCTTTATTGGCTTATGAATAAAGGTACTTTGGCCTATAGCAGGGCAGAATATAACCAGGCTAGAAAAGATATAGAAAAAGAAAGAAGGCAGAGTCAGAGAGATGACATGCAGCTGCCAAAGGAGACAGATGCCCAGAACTTTACTGATAAGCCACAGCCTCATGGTAATATACAGATTGATAGAAATGGGTTAATTTAAGATGTAAGAGTTAGTTCATAAGAAACATGAGCTAATAAACCAAACAGTGTTGTAAATAATATAGTTTTGTGTGATTATTTGGGTAGAGTAGCTGAGAAACAAATGCACAGCCTCTACCAACATATGGTTATATCTAGGAAACTATTATAATGCAAAAAAAAATCTCAGGTCATCACAAGGCTTAGAAGAGTTGAACTAACAAAACAAAAAGGGAAACCACACATAAAGGCCAACTCTGGTGTGCCTCAGTGAGGACAAGGTAACAGGACTGTACAGTAGATTGCTCAGCATCATTTATAGTTCACTGCATATTTCATTCCTTATGTTTAAATGGAGCTCATCTCTACTTGTTCCTCTTCCCATACCACAGATTTAGTTGTTCTACATCTATTCTTCTCTAGTCCTCAAGTTGCCTGAACTAGTTGGAAAAAGGGGTTGTATGTCTCTAACTGAAGCATTCATAAAAGTGAGACCTTGTTGGAGGAGACTGCACAGTCATTCTCAGCAGCCCAGACTCCAAATAACCACACAGAAACTGTATTAATTGAATCACAGTTTGTTCTAACTTCTTATTGGCTAGCTCTTACATCATAAATTAACCCATTTCCATTATTTTATATTTTATCACAAGGCTTGTGGTTTACCAACAAGGTTCTGGTGCATCTATCTCCTACTGTGGCTACATGGCGCATCATTGACTCTGCCTTTCTTTCTCCCAGTATTCAGTTTAGGTTTCCTGCCTAGATCTACTATGCCCTATCACAGGCCAAAGCAAGTCCTTTATTCCTTAACCAACAAAAGCAACATATATACAGAAGGACTTTATCTCCCACATCATCTCCCCTTTTCTATCTTAGTAAAAAAGAAAGTTTTAACTTTAATATGGTAAAATTGCATGTAACAAAACAGGTATCAAACAAGAATTAGAGTTATAGTATTTATATATGCCTTATCTTTTTCATAACTAAAGAAAACTATAATTATAACTATCTATTCTTCAACTCCATCAAAGACCCCAGAAGGATATAGTATTATAAGCAACATCCAAAACTCTAGAATTGACAAAGACATCTTGCTACCTGAACACAAAGTTCTTCTGTAACATTCTTCTCGGCATCCATCTTCAGTCTACAGGCCCATGGTATCCAGCAGACTTTTCTATGAAGCAGCAAATTTGAAGATCTGTTTAGCCTTGTAATGGCAAAGTCCATCAATTCCTTTCTTCTGTGTCCCTCAGAATGTCTGGCAGACTCTTTCATGAAGCAGGAACCCTGAAGGATGGTCTCACCTTTAGACAAATTCAGCAGTCATTTTTCTATGGGTCCTACATGTCCAGTCCATACAACATAATATCAAGCAGTACAGGCAATGGCTAGCAAGCTCCATAAGGAGCCTCATTGATGCCCATCATCTTCTTGAAGTGAATTGGTATTGCCAGGAACTAATGTGTCTCATTGGCATAAAAAGTCCCAAATTTTTAAAACATTTTAAATGCCACATTTCATAGGTCTTTCAAAGGTTTGAAGATTATCTACCTAACTGAAATAGCTCTCTATATATCTAGAAAATCTAACTAACTTAACTACAAACAAGATTATTATAGATGACTATCTATTAACCTATATTTCATAATTATACATTACATTTTAAAATAAGCTGTACAAACACAATACCTTAATCAAGAGCAGAAACATACATATAACTAAACTGGCCTAAAATTTGTATCAATGAACCAAGATCCATAAAAATGCAAATCTCTATAGTATATCCCCCTTTAGATGTAAACAGACATTTATAAAAAATCATTTAGGGAATTTGAGCATTGTTGTCTAGATACTTTCTGTTTATTGGGGGTACTATTAATATGGTCTGTCATGGGGTATCCTGTGTGGATAGGTCCATCTCAACCAGCAGTCATGAAGGCATCATGAATGTTGGACCATCTGGGCCATTGTTTCAGGGGATCTTCTTTGGTCAAACCACATTAGTCTGGAAGAAATCCACATGTTCTCATCCTCTGTGGAAATATAAGTAGAACCTCTTTTCCAAAGCAGTATATCCTTAAACTCAAATTTTGAAGTCAAGATACTTTTTAAAATATATGTTGGTTTAGCTTAGCAACCCTTACAATAAAATGTCTCTCTGCACTTAACTCATTCACAGCCAAAAAATTCAAAGAAAGCACAATAATATACATAATCCAGACTCTCTGTGTATATTCCATTTTTACATGGCTTATTTTTCTTACTTTATTACTTTTTCTACAAGTTTATTTACTCCTTTAACCTATGACTGTCTTTATATGTGTTCTGTGTCTTTAAAGACTTTGTTTTACTTTTTTTCTATTTTTTGTTCTCTCTCTCTCAAGCCTACATACATTTATCCAACACTGTGACCCATTTAGAAGTTTTTTTCATCTGAATCTGTCTTTATTGCATCCATATATGTAATTATTTTTGACCAGGAGTGTTTTCTTTCTTTAAATGCTAAGCAGGTATGGCTATGAGCAACTCCATGGTCCTGCCTGCTTGCTTCACCAAGTCCAACATGGCAGAAACATGTTTGCTGCCTCTGAGAGCTATTCTCTCTGCCCCAGATCCAGGGTTGCAGTGGTTTCACCATTAAGCAAGTTTTAGCACTCTGCTCACAAATCCCATTTAAATGTTTGGAAGAGCCAGACCTGTACATGCAACTATCATGAATCAGGAAGTCATCATTTCTTAAAGAAGCCATGCAAGGTTTTTGTTTGTTTGTTTTGGTTTTCTTATTAATTGCTGCTAATGCTGAATCAAGAAGACTTCTCTCAAAGGAGCTGTGGTGCTCTGACCCACCACCAGTAAACAGAGCCCATCCAGAAAAAAATGCCACATACCAAGAAGCTGTGTTTAACTTTGTTCTTATGTGTCTAGAATTTCCTTCCAAGTTTTCTCAGGATTTACATGGATATAGTCAACCACATAGGTGCAAATTTGTTAGCAGAGGCTGCTTGTTCATTCTACTGGCTGCCAGACCCAAAATAATCACTCAGAAACTGTTATTTGCAGTACTGTTTGGCCAATAGCTTATGCATCTTTCTAGTTAGCTTTTATACCTTAGCTGAGGATGCTAAATTCAAGCCAGCCTGCCAAACATATAAGTTTGGCAGAGCCATTTTGAACTACATAGTTATACCCTACTCAATAATTTTAAAGTAACCAGCTACCAATTAGTGTGCTGTATTCTTTCTTCAAAGAAATAACACACAACTCTCCTCAACTTCCTCCTTCACCTTCTCCTTCTTCTGCCTATAAAAGCCCCTTCTGATGTTATTGAGGGGAGGGCTAATGCTAGATGGCTGGAACTTATTGCCCCTTGAGTGATCATTCCCATAATGTCTCAAACACTTGGCTTGTTCTTATAGTTGGTGTACTTCAATCCTGTTGTCAAAAGTACTTCATCCTTTAAGTCAACAGAATGAATGTCTGCTTTCTCTTAAGACAGGTTAACTAGAGGATCAGTTCTACCCATCAGCTTACTTGTTTTTGTTTTTGTGATGAATTAAGCAATGTTGAGTATCTTTCTAGATATAGATATCTAATTTTGGACTGCCAACCTCTAGACCAAAACGTGAGTCAAAAAGCCATCTTTTCCATCTATAAGTTACCCAGTCTATGGTACTTTGATGTAAAAAAAGAAACCAAACTGTGGTAGCATCAGCATCAAGAAACTTCTGTGTTATTTGAAACCATGAGGAAAGGTCCAGTTCTATATACAATTCAGTCTTCCATAAAACACAGAAACCTAAAGAACTCTCCTCCTACAGAAATCTGAAGAGCCCAAGTGACTGTTTCTCTTCATAATTAAATGTTTTTTTGAGTATTCTTACTTGAGTATTACTTGAGTAAGAGATTCTTTTCAGAAAATAAGGCACAGGATGATTGAGGAAGTCACCATATGTCAGCCTTTGGCCTTCGTATGCATGTACACACGAGTACATGCACACACATACATATATGCAGAGATATGAACAAGTACACACACACACATATACCACACACACACACACACACACACACACACACACGTTTTTAACCCAAACCTTGATATAGAAAAACCTATAGCTTTCACCAGATTTTTCTACACTTTTTATAAAGTATAGATTCTGGAAAATTATTACCTGTGACTCAACAAAATTCCGTATTATTGACCTTTTGTGCTGCTTGATTCATTTTCTAGGGTGCTATGGCTGCCCTATACAGAGAGAAAGAAGCAATAGCAAGAATGAGGACAACCATCGCTAAATGGATTTCCCTCTTACCGAGGATATTATCTGGAATTTCCAAGCCTCTCAACCTTTTCCTAAAGCTATTAATATTATCACTGCATTGACCTTTGATGCTGTTTGCCATTTTGAAATTTACAGATCAGCAAGCACCAGTAAATCTTGTCAGAATGAATGCAAATGTAAGACACAGTCATTACTGACTCCTCATGGTAAAGAATAGCTTGCTACAGTGTTATTACAGAGACACAATTTATCCTGATTGCCAGAAAGATGAGACACCCTGAATGTAGGCAGTAAACTCACTCAGAGAAATAAATTTCCCTGGCATTGCCCACACAAAAGCTGGCTCTGGTGGATGAATGCTGTCAGGACAGCCATGGCTGGTGATGGATCCGCACTTGCGTGACTCTCCTCCCTGTGAGAGTATGAAAGTCAATTTGCTCTCATTCATTCTGTTCATCACACTAGACATGTTCAGGGCTTGAACTCAGAAAAAAAAAAGCTGGATAAATCACAGTCCAGATGCTTGATCCTACCTCTGCACTTGATGTGCCTTCGTATTTCAGACCTGCACAATAGGCACCCCAGAATTCAGATACCAAAGGATCCCGGGCCAGAGGGTTGTCTTTGCCCTGACAGGCATTCCTGTTTTCCATACACAAGTGTTTCCATAAAAGAATAGACTTCATAACACAGCAAAACTTTACTCTGTGACCATTGTATCATCTCCGTGTCTTTTAAGCCATTTTCTTCGCTATTGAAAGCCTTTGCAACACTGCTTACCAGACAACGAATTTTAGTGCAGTAATCCTTTCATAGGAAGAGTGTGAATGAACAATTACCCTCTAGGAAGCTCAAGTAAAGAAGTGATGTATTTTACATGTGCTGAAAATCACGAGAGGGCCAGAATGTGTTTATTAATCCTTGGAGAAATGAGGCATGTTTGAAAGAGGTTGATTCTAAACACATTAAAAGGAACTTATCTGATAGTGCAAAGGAGAGCAGGGCTTGCAATGAAGGCAGGTTGGTTTGGACATCCCAGATCTCAGCTAAGGACTCAGACGTTAAAACACCTGAGACAGCCTCACCAGCAGATGCAGCACAATAATACTATGAGGTGCTCGCAAGACCTGCTGATCAAGAACAGAGGACAAGTGTCACGGGGCCTTCAAAACACAGAAGGAAGGAGCAAACATCAGATCTTAAGTACAGCATAATCAAATTGTCCCTTTTACAGTTCTTAAAAATAATTCATTTTAAAGCTTGGCGGTGGTGGCACACGCCTTTAATCCCAGCACTCAGAAGGCAGAGGTAGGTGGATCTCTGTGAGTTCAAGGCCAGCCTGGTCTACAAGAACTAGTTCCAGGACAGGAACCAAAAGCTATGGAGAAACCCTGTCTCGAAAATCCAAAAATAATAATAATAATAATAATAATAATAATAATAATAATAATAATAATTCATTTTAAAATCCTTAAAGGGCATTATAAATTAGAAATGGAAAATGTAATCTCTTTTAGTCTGCATTGAATTTACAGATTAATATAAAACAGTATAATGCTTGAAGTCTATGCAGGTTTTATTATAAAACTGGACCTATTAAATAATATAAACAATATTGGTAGCATATTTATAAGGATAAGCACCTTGGAGATTAGGCATTAAAATTATTTTGAGAACCCTCAGAAAACTTACATTTGACACAGAAATTTTAAAACCAAGGGTTCGGCTTTTTACACACTTGCCGGTGTCTCCATATGTGGAAACATTATTGTAGGTGCTGAGGGTAAACGGTGCTCCATCTAAAGGGCTCAGCGACAGATTGACAGCTCAGTGATCGGTTCTTAATACACAATGACTCTTTTCATAAGACAGAGAGATTTAAGAAAATCTTTTTTACAAACAAAAGAAATCCATGAAAATAGAGGATAAAATAATTTCTCTCTTCTGATGACGTCCCTGGTGCATAAATAATTTTACCAAAGCCATCAGCTATCAGAAAAATTGAACAGTAATTAACAGTATGCTAATAATAATAGTAATAGTTTTTCAGCCAAAATGCCCTATTTACTCTGGATTAAGCCTTTCCAATTTAATTTAAAATTAATAATTCCACACATGCGCACGTGGAATAATGGGTAGATTTCAGCTGGGTTACTCAATTGTTCTTCACCTGATTGAACGTAGAGTCCTCCACTGAACCGGAAGCTTGCCATGTTAGCCAGACCAGCTTGCAGTGAGGTTCTGGGAACCCCCAGACTCCTTCCAGTGCTAGGGTACAGGTTTGTCTTCCCATCTGGTCTTTTCTCCGAGTACTGGAGGACCAATTGCAGGTCCTCATGCTTCAATAGAAAGCACTTTAACCACTCAGCTGTCTCCCCAGCACCAAATTAAAAAAACAAAAAAATGAAAACACAATTTTTCTGTTTTTAATTAGTGATGACTCTAAGATTTCAGAACAGAGTTGATGGAAACAAGTGTACGCCTGCATACAGAAAGAAATAACACTTCAAACTTACTTTATAAACAAGAGAGCAATTTGCCCGGTGTATCTTTATGCTTTTTGAAGCATTACAAGAAACGCAACTTCGAATCAGATTCTAGGGGTAGACAGACAAAATAGCAAAATTACATACGCCTTAAGTCAACAACAAAATTTCTTCACAAACTGAAAGCGAAGTTCCGTCATGTGTATATCTCAGGATACAAACAACAGCAGAAAATGGGAAAATAAAAAACAGCTTCCAGGACACCAGGATGGGGGCTGCTCCAGGTATCCCAGTGAGGGCTGTAGCTATCATGCCTGCCACGCCCTTTCTGAAACTCAACACCACTCCTCAACTACCTATTCCCTAGAGGAGATAAATCTCAGGAATTTATTAAAAAGCAAATTACTGTGTGCTGTGTGAATATTTTGAGACAAACAGTGAATGTTTATTTATTGTTTTAATCTACCTCAAAAACTGGGGAGTAAAGCAGGCACAAAGAAAATTAAGTAATGTAAATAATAATGAATATTTTAAGGTAAGTTTCTTATTCTTAAAAAAAAAGGTGTAGTGTACTGACTACACACTCACTAAGAGCATTTTTATTGTTTTATTTTTAATCAATTTGTTCTGACAATTTCATATATTCTCATAGTACATTCTGGTCACATTCCTCTACCTAACCCTGTGCCACCTCTCCCTTCCCATAGGTCTGTTTCCTACGATCAAATCTTTTTGGTTTTGTTTCTGTTTTGTGAACCTCCTAGATTAACCAGGGCCATGCAGGAGAATGTGGGTGTGGAGTTACTCATTGAAACATGAAGGTTTCACCAGTGGCTGCTCGACTGAAGACAAGAACTATCTACCATTCCTCACAAAACTAAAAATCTATGTCCATTTGTTTCAGACATTTTGTTTATGAAATCCCAAGTAACAATGGAAAAACACTAGAAATAAAAATTAATACTCTCATTTCTTTTCAGAGCATAAAATATTAACCTAGTGGTATAATATGAGGTCAGTATTTTTTTAAGAAAATTGATTATCTTTGCTAACAGTGGACAACTGAAAATGAAATTTAAAGGTATTGGTAGTAACAAATCCTATAAAATACTCACACACCAAAATTGCTAAACCTTTGAGGAGATATTGATTGATGGATACCTAAATCAACGAAGAAATGTACTAGTTTCTGTAAATCAGAAGAATAAACACTGAAACATTATCAATTCTAAGCATAATTCTAATCAAATCTCACCAATCTCACCAGTCTACTTACATAAGCTCATAAAGTTGGTATAAAACACATGGGAAGCCCCAACAAACTCCAGATGACCAAAATGTATAAAAGAAAAAGGCTAAATACATAACCACAAGCTGCTCATTCTGTAGAATGACTGCATGCACATTTTCAGGACTAATCATAAGATATTAGATAGCCAGTTGGTGCGGCTTCCCTAGGAAAGACTATTTCTCTTTCTCCCAGCATTCCTTGGTGCCCATAGTTCTTTTTCTGGGGTTGAGGCATCATGTACTTTTCCCCTCCCATGGTAACGTGTCTATTGGCATCCTCCTTCTTCAGTTTATGTATAAGCAGTGATGCTGGTGAGACTTTATGGGTGTAGCTACTGATAGTTCTAGGAAACACAATCTCAGAACAAACGTTCTGTCCTTCTAACTCTTACTTCTCTGAACCTTGGAGGCAGGAGTTATTTTATACATCTATTACTTGGGTCTGGGATCCAGAACTCTACATTTTGATCAGTAGTAGTTTTCTATATTGGTCTCTGTGGCAAAGAGAAGTTTCCTAGAAAAAGGGTATAAGGATTCATATTTAGATTATAGTTAAGGATTATGTTGCTTTAGTAAAGTGGTGGTTGGAGTATACACACACATACACACAAAACAATTAAAGAAAGGGGGCATGTACTGGAAAGAGAGCAAAAAAAAGTACATGGGAATGTTTGGAGGGAGGAAAAGGAAGGTAGGAAATAATGTCATTATGTTATAAATTATAACTTAAAAAATAATATAAAATATTATATATATATCATAAATATATTTTATATAGATTAAATAAAGGGAAGAGGCTACCAGAGCCTGGCTTCCAAGCTTACTATATTACTACATATGCTGCAATATCTTGGTCTCAGGATGAAGAGAGTAAAACAAAGCAAAGGTGTTGAATGTGGGTTCCAGAAATGGGAAACATACTTATTCTCAGTGTCAAAAGGAACGCCTCCTCAACAGATCAGTGAGGACTATCTGACTAAACAACAAATGATAATCAGCTCAAGACAAATAACAGAGATAATCATAAACATTAATACATAAATCCATGAGGAAACAAGCAAGAGTATGTGCTCTACCTCGGGAGGGCACTCTCTCTGAGAGTACACAAAAAGGACTAAATGTAAAAGAAACAAAATGATGTTAGACAGCCTCACAATGTGAAGTGTCTGATGCAATAAAGGTCTCAGGAAAAGGACAAAAGTCACAAACCAGCTCACCCAGCTCAAAGTATGCAGAACACATTAAAAGAAAAGGAGTAGGAAAGAAAAGACAATGCGAATTATAACACAAAGAGGATACAATGTTTAAAATGAGGGAAGTCACCCAGAAAAAGAAAAAGGGTGTTTTTGTTTGTCATTGGGGCTGGAGAGATAGCTCAGTGGTTACGAGCACTGGCTCTTCTTCTAGAGGACCCAGATTCAATTCCCAACACCCACATACCAACTCACATTGTCTGTAACTCCAGCTCTGGGGGATCAACGTCCTCATACAGACTTACATGTAGGCAGAACACCTATATACAAAAAATAAAAACACCAGGTGTTGTGAGACCAGAGGCCAGATCCAGAGACCAGGTTTAGCTGGCAAAAGATACAGAGAAGAAATTATTTTGCTTTTGACGGAATGCTTTGTGCTCTCTGATCAATGAGTCTGGATTTTATAGACAATGAAAAAATCTTCATTTTCTGAGTTTTGCTTTTTACAAACATTATTCATTTTGTATACATTATTATCTACCAGGTAAAAAAATACATGCTTGAATTTGTATCTCAGGTAGAAACACTGAAAAAAAAAAATACCAGCAGTTAAAATTGAAAACACTTGATACCAGTGTGGCTCATCTACAGGAACCACATTTTGGTGGTCACTAATCTGGTTATTGTTTAAACTCAAGCACCAAAAAGCTTGTATTATAAATTTACTTAGCAATATTATATACTAAATATCACAATTTGCTTGCCTAATGCAAAATGATCGAACAAGGGACAAAAAAAAATACCTGTCAATTTCAACTGTGAAACATTTCTTTTAGTAAATGATATCTCTGAAAAATACAGAAGACAAAATACAAGTGAGTTAAAGTGCAAATAATACACATTTGCCTTGGTAATAATTCTCTGAAGGAATGAATACTATATCTAAAACTTACGCTGGGTATGGTGGTACATGCCTTTGATCCTAGGACTCAGAAAACAGAGGAAGGTGAGTCTCTGAGTTTGATGCCAGCCTGATATACAAAGAGAATTCAAGGACAGCCAGGGCTCCACTGAGAAACCTGTCTCAAAAATAACAACAAAATATATGTGGGATGTGTGTGCATTATATATATATAAGAATATATATATATTCTTTTCATAGTTGTAGGCAATTACAATAGTGCAGTCAATTTATTTGGGGAATTTGGTATCCAAAATTTACTCTACCCACAAAACATTGCGGATAAGTATTATAACCCCAGGATTTAGGATGTGGATGCATAGGATCCAAAGTTCAAGGTCTTCCTTTGTGAGACAAAGAATTTACTCAAGCATGGGTACATGAGATCCTGTCCGAAAATAAAATAAAAGAAAGAAAAAAATGCAATTAATTCTAAGGAAATCCAGACCTTACCTCCTCACATTCTAACTACTTATTTTGTTATGGTTACAGGTTTTTAAGAAACTGGGTGAACACGCTATGGAGTTTTTCTTCAAACACTAAATATGTGCTTATAAGCAAAAGATTTTGCATTTCTGGAAATCCATGAGGTGACCATTAATAAAATTTCCAAAAATGAATCATTTTAGCAACCCATATAGAGTCAGTTAATGAGCAATTAATTCTACATGCTGGAGAGAGAGATGATTTGTATCTGCAGGCAGGAACCTCTTCCATCTGACAGAAAAAAAAAAACTCTTTGACACAGGTGGTGCTTTGGGAAACTGTGCTAAGTGCATGGCAGGGAAGGCTTTCCATGATCCCATTCCAGTTCTAAAGAAATCCTAAGTCTTAAATCAATGATGGTCCGGTAGTATATTAACAATTTATTGGTCCTATTAAAAATGTTTGGTGTATACAGAAGTGTTTTCAGACCTGTAGAAATAATTGCAAAGCCCCCCACTCCCACCATAGTTCACTGACACAACTGGTTGAGCAAACTGAAGGAGGTACACTCATTTTCCAAAAGATATTTTAATTTGAATATTGAATACTCTTTGAGGGAAGGAAAGAGAGAAGAAGGGAGGGGATAAACTGTTTAGAAAAATAAAAAATGTACTGTAACTCAACCCCCTGTAATTACTACATTGATCCTTTAAAATATCTTGAGTTTGTTTGATGTGTGATCTGCATTTTATTTCAGACAGATTTCTTAACAGCAAATTGTTTTCCGTTTTCATTTGTAACCTGTGGTGACATAAAGTGAACCGATTCTATAAATTACCATGGAAATTGATGAAGCCAACAGTGTGGCAGAACAGAGCCCCGAGGGTCTGACAAGCACAAGGAAAATAGGAAGCTTGCAATTGCAGATCCACATTGGAGAACACCACATTGGAATTGCAAATTCCTTAATACTAAAAGTGGACAGCGCCTATAGCTGCTTCACCCAATAGTTTTGCAAGAAAATTAAAATCAGTCACTCTGTTAGCACCACTACTTGTATACCCTCAAGCTGTAGGGTGCTCTTCACCCGAAGTGTACATTAGGATCATTCACTGTTGATTGCTGATGGCTAGTCAACATGTCTGAGTCACTTTAAAGCCTTTCTTTGAGCAGCATCACGACCAGATGGCTTAATGAAGCCACTTTGTCTGAGACCATGACTAAGTGCTGCTGTGGGGACAGACATTTTGTCACGGAATCAGAGTTAACTTTTTTTTTAAAAAGTCTCTGCCACCTAGGACCCCTGACATGCTCTATTTGCAAATTGTCTGCATGAAACCAGGAAGGCAGAAGTTCTGAAGCTGCTGGCTTAGAGAAAATGAGGATGCAATTAAAAAGAAAAAGGTTAGGAAAAGAACATGCTGAGAATTGAAAGCAAAAATCTGAAAGTGATGCCCCAGTCTGCCCATAAGGTTCTTCTCGCAGTGCAAAAAGCAGTCTCCAGTGCTCTACTTGGCCCAGCCTCTGCTGTCTTCTCTCTCCTGTTGCCTACTCTTGTGTTATTTTTTTACAACTCACTGAAATAGTAAGAACTTTGAGCATTCAAAATCTCTGCTCTATTACTCTGATGATACTCATTATCCCGAATTGATTTGTTTCCTTAGACCTCTGTTGCATCTTTCCTGTAGTTTTCAGCTCTTTGCCAGTGGTTCTTCCCCCAACACTATGTTGTTTCCACCAAGTATATTAGCAATCTTTTCCGGAAGACGCGGACCCATACATTAATCTAGAATGATTCTTGGGAGCACAAACACACTTAAAAAGGAGGGAAATTTTTCAGTTTGTTTCTTCATTTGTAAATGGAAGAAGAAACAGGGAGCTTTTAAATCATGTTTCATAAAGATCACTGAATTGGAATGAAAGGAGACCGTGGGGATTTTCTAGTTAACAGTGAAACATTATAATTTTGCACATAAAGAAGTTGTGGCCCGAGGAAGAATATGATTTACTGAGAGTAACCCCGATGGTGTTAGAACTAGTCCGTATAAACTCTCAGGCCCATGAACCAAAAGCCCTAGTGATACAAAGTATCTGTACCAAAGACAAACTCTTCCTGGATGATAAGGACCAAGTTCATTCTCCCATTTCCACTGTGACTGCTCTTGAGCGTCACTCTTGGGTTTGGGTAGCACCAAACTCTCAATATTTGAAAGCAATCATATAAAATACTCCACTACGCATTAACCTTCCTACAAGGACATTTTTATTTGCTTTGATAAAACCAGCCCCACCTGTCTCTATGCCTCATTAGAAACTGACACTAACACAAAGGCCCATTCAAACTGAGACCTGAGATCAACATGTTCCCAGTTAAGAAGTGGAGGAAGATCTAGAGAAAACGGGTCTCACATGAGGCAGGGGAGGGGCAATTCTGACTTCTGACCCGTTCTGGCACGATGATTAAACTTTCACAATGAGAAAATACCTGGATGCTGGCTGGACCAAGAGCTCATTGTACTCTAGAGACACAAGACAGGTAAGAATTTCATGGCCTCGCAGACTGAGAAATTGTACAATCAGACCAATTTAAATTCATTTATAGTCTTTTAGCCAGCAAGCCTTGTGATACTCAAAAATTACAGACAAATTATCCAAATTTGTTTGAACAAGAAATCCATTTATAGGTGATCCAAAGCTAAGGAATACTATTAGGGAAATGGCTATTCTAGAGCAGTTCTGCAAACTGTAATCTTGTCCGTGCTAGAATTAAAGCAAACAAGCCTTTTCAATCAGTTATCAACAACAGGAACACATCCATTTTCTCTTAAACCTGGTGGTTTCAGAAAACTCACTGAGTTACCTTCAATAAGATGAAAATGGTGAGGGGGAGGAGCAAGCAGAAAGCAGGGTGTACCGATCGCAGGACTCAAGAAGGGTCTGTGAAGGTAAGTTTCAATCACCAACCTGACACAATACAGAAACACCTGGAAAGATAATTACAATGAGAAATTGTGTAGATTAGATTGGCCTGTACATTTGTCTGGATAGCTAACTGTTATGGGAAGACCCAATTTAAAAGGGGGTATCATCGTTCCCCGAATTTAAATCCTGGGTTTTATTTTTAAGACATTATTTATTTTATTAATGTGTTTGTACACTGATGTGCAGGTGACTAAGAAGGTCAGGAGAAGGTGTGAGATCCCCTAAAGCTAGAGTTATAAGCATTTGTGAGCCGACCGACATAGGTGCTGGGGACAGAACCCTGGCCCTTTTCAGGTGCAGTTCCTAGCCACTGAGCCATCTCTTCAGTCCTGGTCCCAGACCTTATGAAAAGAAATGAGCTGAGTGCAAGCATGTCTACATTAATCTATTGTTCCTGCTCGTGACTGGGGATGTTGCTGCTTTGGGTTTCTGCTGCCTCGGCTTCCCCCTAGTCTGGAAATGTGGGCTAAGTCAAACACTCTCTCCCACAGACTGCTTCTTGTTACGGTGTTTTGTCACAGCAAAGTAAACAAAACTGGGATGGGTGTGATAATTCTCACCTCATTTCTCTTTTTATTTTTCGAAAACATGAGCACTTATTTTATGGTGTGCACAGTGATAAAATACTTGAAAGGAAAAAAAATCACTTATTCCTTAAAGTCACACAAAGAAACTCTCATAACACATGGAAGGAAGCTAAATATATTCAAAAATATGTTTAAAATATTGTAGCTAAATCATACCGGACCAAAAAAGAAACATTTTGAGCAACAGTACGTATAGTAACTGCGATATGTTGACACTCCAAAAACATATAACTCAGAAAGTTCACAGTGATACACACAGGCAAAAGGAAAAGAGCAAACCACTGTGAGAGCTGGATGCAAATGCTATGCTGACTTCCTTCTTCAAGGTCTACCTGAGCTAAGCAAACAGCTGATGAAGGGACGTTTCTCACCACACACGTTTTTAATTCATAAAAAGGGGAAACAGAAGAATTACAGTGCCACACTAATGAAGTGAGGGCTCTAGACAACCATCAATCCCCTGAACAACAAAAGGCGCTCAGGTTACTCTGGGGGCGGAGAGGCTCCCATGAAATATCCCTGCCCTAAAACTGAACCTGAATTTGATCAACTCCTTTAATCCAAATGCCTTTGAGAATAAATACAGGTCTCAGAGGAGCATGTAAAATGATAGCAGTATAGTAAAATCAGCAGAATTCACAAAATGAAAAATCCTGCAGTTCATCCTGGTTTCTTCAACAAATAAATTACAAGGAGGAGAAAAGGACAGGAAACACAGCAATGGATTTCAAACGCGTGGCTTCTATTTGTAGCCAGGTGGTGTTATTTTAGGAGAAATTATTATTTTAGAAAACGTTTACAGTTTTCTAAGTCGTTACTTTATAAGGATGCATGCAGCCCCACTCTTTGAATCCACTTGAACCCTAGTGTTAAGTGAAAACTCTTGACGAGGAAATGAGATCAATACAGATACTAATTGTTGATGCCGAGGTATGTCTACATAGAAGATCTGGCATAGTACCCTGTCTAGTTTCATATGCTAACTATTATACTAAATTAAAAGGCTTCTTAAGGTGTTCTGCTTTATCACAATCTGATTTTTATAGCAATCTGATTCACTTTAAATAAAATAAGGATGACCAGAACTGCAGAGATGATTCAGTGTTTAAGAGCTCTTTTTGCTCTTACAGAGGATCCAGGTTCAGTTCCCAGTATCCACAGAGCAGCTCACAACTGTCTCTATATAATACTCCAGTTCCAGAGAATCTCACACACTCTTGTGACCTTGGTGGGCAACAGGGGTGCACGTGGTACACAGACCTGCATGCAGGCAAAACAATTATACACATAAAATAAATAAACATGAAGGATAACCAGCGTTGACTATAAAATGATCAGAGGTTACCTTTCTGCTGCTGTTTCTAGTATCCGTCATTTACTCTACCCATTCTTTCTCTACCTAACCTTTCAGTGCGCCTGTTTTCTACTAGTAATATAGCAAGGACAGCTGTCACTTACAAAGTATCACTCATGCAGAAATTAGTTGAAAAGCAACTAAGAACTATCACTGGCTTATGACAGTTATTTAATAGTTTGTATTTTGTGCTTGATATGTCTTTTCAGATCTGTATAATAAACTTCAAACCATCCATCAACTAACTTAGAAGAAGGACCACCACTCTGTAAAGTTCTGTGTGTGAGTGTAAATATCAATGGCTCAAGCACTGGGCTGAGCTCCTGAAGTTCAATTGAAGAGAGAAAGGAGAGGGCATATGAACAAGGGGGGGTCAAGAGCATGATCGGGAAAACCATAGAGACAAATGACCCAAGCTAGCGGGAGTTCATGGACTATGGACAGACAGCTGAGGAACATGCATGAAACTAAACTAGGCCCTCTGAATGTTGGTGAGAGTTTTGTGGCTTGATCTATTGGGGAGGGGGCCCTGGAAGTGGCACCAGGACCTATCCCTATTGCATGAACTGGCTTTTTGGAGCCTGCTCTCTATAGTGGCATACCTTGCTCAACCTTGATACAGGAAAGGAGCTTGGTCCTGCCTCAAGTGGGTGTGCCAGACCTTGTTGACTCCCCAAGGAAGGCCTTACCCCCTCTGACGATTGGATAGGGGTGGTGGGAAGGGAGGAGGTGAGGGCAGAAGGAAAGGGAAGGGGAATTGGGGTTGGTATGTACAATGAAAAGTGAATTTTTCTAATTAAAAATGAAAAAAAAAAAGAAAATCAATGCCTCAATACCTTGGACTTAACCTATTTTTAGATACCAGCCATTCATGAGTCTACCTTTTCCTGGACTTATTATATTACAAACAATCCAGAAATTACTTGGAATCTTCCCTGGTCTACATAAATCTTTATTGGACAGATGGAAGGAAAAAATAACTGCGAATCTTTAAATTTCTTTCAGCATGAACATTCTTTAAATATTTTTCATTGAACTAAGTTTAAATTGTTGGTCTTGGTGAAAAATACATGTGAAATTTAAACTGTTACTATTATTGTGATCTTAGGCAAGCAAATAGTAACATGGAATATGTTTAAATACTCAAAAAAATATAATAATCCAAGGGCTGTAGATGTTGCTCAGTCATGGAAGGACCTTCACACATGCATGAGGACCTCAGTTCAATGCCAGCACTTATATAACTATGAAGCATGGTAGCACATTACAGAAACCCAGCTAAGGGGAGGCAGAGATGGAGGATCACCAACCAGTCTAGTCAAACTGGTGAGCTGCGGGCTCAGTAAGAGACCATGTCTCAAAACATAAGATGGAGAGAGATTGAGAAAAACAGACAATATCAATTTCTCATGCACATGCACACACACCCATGCACATAAAATGTGATACATACACACAGTGTGTAAGTCAGACATGATGCTGTCCACCTGAAATCTCAGAACTCAGAAAGTTTGGAATGGAGAATCATGAGTTCAAGGCCGGCCTGAACTTATTACGAGACCCTCTTTCCTAAAACAACAATAAAAGGTATATAAAAACTCATAAAATAGGAAGACAACTTTCTAATTTTAAACCAGGAGTCAACAAGCTCTTTCTGTCAAAACACAGTGAATTTTTGAGTTTTCAGACCATAAAACCTCTGCTGTAGCCATTTACCCTTGTCATTGGAGTATGACAGTAGCTGTAGAGAATTGTGAACAAATAATAGTGACCATCTTCCAATATCCTTTATTTACGACACTGAAATTTAATTTTATAACATTTTTCATGTATATGACATACTGTTGTTGCTTTTTCCTCCTGAGCACTTTATTTTGTTTCGCTTAAAAATGTTAATTTTTTTGGTAATTTCACACATGAATATAACACATTTAGATCATATCTACTGCCTATCTCATCCACAACTTACCTTAGGAGCCCACCACCCCTGCAAGCTCAGGTCTTACTTCATAGCTTGACCTGGCCTAGAATTCCCTACATAAACCACACTGGCCTTGAACTCATGGCAGACTTCCTACCTCCGCCTCCCAAGAAAGAGCTTGTACTACAAGGGTGCACCACCAAACTTGACTAGGTCCTTAATGTTGTTCAGTCACTTTAAAAACGTGAGGTTAGAGGGTCTGGAGAGACAGCTTAGCAGTTGTTAAGATTGTGTTTTCATCCTTCAGAGGCCCCAAGTTTGGGTTCCAAGAACACACCTGCCTGTAACTCCAGCTCCAGAGATCTAATGACATATTCTGGTCTTCATAGACAGCTGTGTTCTTGTACATACATGTACTCAACCACATACATACCCGTAATAAAAATAATAGTTTAAATGTAAGGTTGGTAATATGGCTGAAAAGTACAGCATACACCTGAGTGTGTACAAGGCCTGAAGGATCCACACACAGCACTGTCAAATAGCCAGTAGTCATAATGTAAAAGCTAGATTAAATCACATGGAAATAGACAGTGGTTTGAATTTAGCCTTATATCAGTTGCTTTTCTGTTGCTGAAGTGTCAAGGAGTGGGCAGCTTGCTCCAAAAGCAATTTAATGAGGAATGGGATAATTTTGGCTTAATGTCCCAGGGGGATGCAGTCCATCATGACAGGAAAGGCTTGGGAACAGCCAGGGAAAGCATGACCATAAGAGCAGGATGCAAAGAGATCATACTTTATCCAAACATGGAAAACAGAGGAAGAGAGAGACAGAGAGAGAGAGAGAGAGAGAGAGAGAGAGAGAGAGAGAGAGAGAGAAAACATAAAGTATGGGTGAGGCTAGGAAACCTCAGATCCTGCTCCAGTGACAGGCTTCTTCCAGTATGGCTCTACTTCCTATAGGTTCCATTCCCTTCCCAAACACCACCATCAGCTAGAGATCACGTGTTCAAATGCCTGTGCCCACAGGGGACATTTCTCACTCAAGCCACACAGGTTTGTAATTTGCCAATATTTGGTTACCCCAAATTGATTTCTTGTTAATTGCATTTTGTTTCTTGGAGCCCAAATAGAAACGGC